AATAGTTTTGTTTAGCTTCCACATACCGACGTCAACAGGGTCTTGGGAATCAAAATCCAATTGGAACCGGACTTCTGGACTTGATAGTGTTATAGCACCTCGATCAATTCGTCGTTTATGGAGTTGTTTAGCCAATTGGTTAAGAATTCGGAGTCCTTTAGTCAAATCATCTTGTTTGCGCCTAAGGAATCGACGATGACTTAGCACAATCACAAAAATAAGGCTAACGGTGCATATTATACCTACGGATCGTCGATAAGTATTTGCGCTTCTTCATATGTTAACGATGCTCTAGATGAGATCAAACTTTTAGTGAAATTTACGTTTACTATTTCTGCATCGGCTGTAAGTTCCTATATTTTTTTTTAAAGCAAGGTTTAATAAAAAATGGTTATTAACAAACTTAGTTTGTTAGAAATTTTCAACTTACCCAGATGCATGAGAATGCAAGTCTATCAACTTTTTCACGAAGAGAACACAAATCTATTAAATATAATATGTATTGTTGTATTGTTAAAATTAATAAAATCTATTGATTAATATTGTATTTATTATCTAGATACATAATGCTCACTTGATCCTAATAATTCAGGTAACATGTCAATACGTTTATTGACCAAGTACACGGTAGTTCCGCGATTTGCAGCTTCTTCATCCATTGCAGTGAATGGTTTGACAAAATGTGTGACATCAGCAATATCTGATTCAAAAGATATGTAAATCAAATTCTACGACAAATAATTAATCAAAATTTTATTTAAAATATTCTAAAACTTACGAACACCAACTTCGTAATTTCCATTTGGAAGTGGTCGAACATGTAAAGCATCATCGATATCAGTACAGCCTTTGTAATTTTGGATTCAAGAATGTGAGATATTGTTTTTTAATAATAATCAAAGAAATGTAGACTTATTTATTACCTGGAGGGTCAATACTACAGACATTCAAATGTCTTAGGTCGGCACGACCATGAAAATGCTCTTCTGTAACTCTCCACGATTCACCTTCAATAGGCAGGTCTTTCAAAACCTGAGAAGCGAAACTTTGGAATGGTACATCATGTTCTAAAAGTAAAACCTCTGTTTCTGTGGATTTGTCTCCCGCAGCACCCAATGCTCTTACATAATGGCCCCAAGGATACCTAACGTAATATAAATTATGATTAATTCATATTACGGTTATATAAATTATAAATAATAAAAACAAACAACATACGTCGAATTCTTTGGCCAAGAATCAATGGAAACCAATATTCGTTGTCCCATCAAATTTTGAGCTTGCCTAGTTCTTATATATATGTATGGTATGCGCCTATCCATAGGAAGTACCAATACATTTTCTGAAAAAGTGGAGGTGGCAGATTTTTTGACTGATTTTTTGCTTATGAAGCCACAATATCTATAAATGAGATAAAAAGTTAAGTGAAAAATAAGAAACATAAATTTTAATATACATTTGTTATAACATACGGTCTCCAATTTCTTTTAATAATTCCTACGACTTTTCCTGTAGGTTGTGAAGGTTCGTTCTCTAGTTCGTCGTTCTGTTCTTTAGGTTCACCATCTTCTTTAAGATCAGCAGTTACATTTGCTTCTTCCTCTACATAAATTGTGAATAACATGAAATTAACGAAAACATTAAACAATATTCATTATTTTGATAAAATTACCTTCTTCAACCACAACAGCAGTAGGGGTTCTAAGCCATTCAGACTTTGGTAATAACTGAACAGCTACGACATCTCCTTGAATTGCCCTATTTAAACATGGACGTCCCAAAATCATAATTTGTGTATCTACACCATTTACATTACTTAATATTGAACCCTGATATTCGAAACATAAAATATAAATAAATGGATTATAGTATCATATCGATCGCAAATAGTAATAAAGATTACACACTTCGAGATAATTATGCATGCTAATAGTTAATGTTCCTTGGTACAGCGTCCCATTCTTAATACCATTATTTATTTGACTGGCTGTCAAATGCTGTTAGAAAATATATAATAATTATTAGTATTTTATTAGATCTTAAATGCTTTATATTATTTAGGCTTACTTCATCATATAGAATCTTCTTGTCACCTTCAGCATTAGATGAATTTTCGAGAATGTCGACCAGCTCTGGAGTGTCAGTCATCCCTTCAACATACTCTCTTACTAGAAAGAAAACAATTGAGACAAAGTCAGTGCAAATTAAAGAATTTTAATTAAAGTTTAGATTAACAACAAACCTGAAAACGCCAATAATCCTTCTTCTTGAGCTTTTGTTCGATTTCCTACATCATCTGTCAAGAGCACGACTTCATTATGACTGCCTTTATTTGTCATTTTCTTGAGATGTGTAGAATACCATTTGACAGCAGACCTTATCGCTAATATGTATATATTTATATAGCAAAGAAAATGAGGAATTTTTCCGCTAACGCGCTTATAAAGATTTTCAAATTAAAACCGACCTCTATCATTCCTATCATTTGGTGATTCATCTTTCAACCGTTGAATATAGGTATCGCTTCATTAATAATTTAGCCATATAAGCGATTAAGGAATTAAATCATAATTAAACTATATAATCATGAACATATACTAGAGATAATGAACGTACCGATGATGTTCATTTGAAAATACATAAAAACGTTTTTTCTGATCACTTATTAATGCGCGTAGCCTGTTATAAATTGGTAAACTCAAATGGCGTAATTCCTCGTAAACAGTTTGCAGGACGATAACATCGTGCAATGCTGGATGTTCAATGACATCTATCTTTAATAAAAGTATTAATTGTTAATTTCCAAACCAACGTAAACCAAAATTTGTTAAAAGATCAAGCGAACCTGGTTCATAAAAACATTGGTATCTGGTATAATATAATGCGGTCTTGGGATATGATTTGTGAGCAGAGCAGACGTACTTAAAACTGATTCAGTTTGAGAACAAAGCGAGCAGCATTCCACCGAGCACCAAATATCATCCCGCAAATAATGCTCTTGAACCACTTTGATCGCGTTTCCTTTTTTTGTGCGCTTAAGAAAGGATTTTGATTGAAGCATCTCTAACCATTAATTTCTGATAACTTCACACGCAAGTACATACAACAATTTGATTATAAGTTTTGTAATGCTTCCCAAAGTATATATCTATAATCGAGATATTTTGGCATAACGATAACGGATATTCCGATTGGCCTGATTGGCTGCTTCTAATGCTGAATGATATTCATCTAAACGTGATTATAGACCAATCAAATCAATTTATTCTCTTTGCTTTTTATTTCTCTTTATTTATCGTTATTAACTGATTATTATATAACAAAAAAACAACTTTTTATTATTTATTATAATTTTATTTTAATTTATTTTTTTAATTTTATTATTATTTTATTATTATTTATTTTTATTGTAGTTTTATTGATTATTATTTTTTTTGCACTAATAATATTATTAATTAATTTTTTTAGTACTGTACTACTAAGTAAATAATTAGCAACTATATAACGATAATATCGATATAAAATCAAATAAGAGCCATTCGGAATGAATTCGGATCCTCGGAATCTGGATCCGGATTCTATATTAGCTGCGCAACGTAGTTGCGCTAAAATTCCTTAAATAAAAAAATACAATAATAAGTATATATGTAGTTTATCTAAAATACAGTACATATATACATTAAGGAAAATGATTTCGAATAAGTTTATCACTCATTCAGAGATAAAATTTTACAATAACGATAATAGGCTCGAGTTTCTTTCTAGTATTCCCGATATGATTTGCTGTGACGTTCAATAATTCCTCTAACCCTCTATTTTTTCGTCCAATTCTCGGATTTTTTGTTCTAAATTGCTTGTTATAATTAATATCTTTAATCGTGTTTACGGCCGAAACAGATATATCGCACATTGCAGTGATATTTATATTGATAGGCGCCTATAGTATTTAATAGAAAAAACCATCCAAAAAACCGTTAAATATATCATGGACTCTTCGTTTAAATTATTACTGGGGTCTAATACAAGAAAAAAATTTTTTTTAATTGTAAGTTAACTGCGGTTGATAATGGGGTACCCTATTAACTCGCTTTAATAATCATACTCGACAAAGTTTCTCCAACGAAGGTAAACATAACCAACCCAGCCTTCAGAGTTAGTAGGCCTCATCGGCAAGAAACTCCTTTAATTACTGCTACCATCATTGAAGTCAACTCTTGAGAAACGATCGATCCAAAGTGTCCCTTGGCGCCAAGGTCCATCAATAGATCAACCGTGTCAAGTAGCTGACCAAGAGTGTTTCTTCGCACAAGTGCCAAGGCCCCTAATAAAACAGTAATTAAAGGGTCTAACTATTAAAAAAAAACTATGCCTACCTGGTTTGTTCTTCCCCAGCGAGTCTGGCGGATCTTCTATTCCTACCGTAATTAGGGTTAACATTCATGGTAAGAGTAAGGATGAGTGAGAGCGACGAGCGGGAACAAGAATGAGCAGTGAGCGGGTGCAAGAATGAGCGGCGAGCGGGTGCAAGAATGAGCGGCGAGCGGGTGCAAAAACGAGCAGGTGCCAAAATGAGCAGGTGCAAGAACGAGCGAGAACGAAAAAATGCTGTATGTGAAAAAAAAGGATGAAAAGTTTGAAAAGTTTACGCGAAAGTTTGATAAATGAAACCTTTCTGGCACGTGATTTTTAGCCAATTAGAAACCCCTCTAGTTCACCCACAAAATTTTTTCCGGCGCCAATTAGATGAAAATTACGCCTTTTTGTTTTGTTTTACAGAAATCGCCAATAACTCGAAATTTTGTTTATAAAACTGGTTTTTGTGTTTTAACAAAAAAAATTACTTGCAAAATTTGGTATAACCTACGTCTATCCCTTGACCTTAATCCTAACCCTAAGATGATATTTATTGCATTAAATCTTTCGCTTATTCGTTCGCGTATTGATTTTACGTTACGCTAAAAATCACGTGTCGGAAAAAAAAATTTGTGATAGACTGAGATCGTGTGTAACGTAAAATCATAAACCATATCTTCTAATGATTTTCACGTTACACCTGCTCATTCTATCTAATTGGCTAAAAATCACGTACCGGAAAAAACCTACATTATATTTTTTGTATGACGATACGATGATTCGTTAACGACTATTTTTTATTAAGTTCAGATAGAAAGCATAAACTTGCCAAATTACAGAAAACGATTCTGCAATGTGATTTTTATTTTTTACAATAATCTTGTCTTTTGAAGTCGTCATAATAAGTTCTTTTATTGAAAACATTTCCTTCAAATTCCTTCATCATAATCGTCTGTTTTACAAATACTTTTTAATTTTTCCCATACCAAGAAATGAATTAAAATACTGATTGAGAAATCTTGATAAAAGAGCAAATACTTTTAATACATACAGGCATATCGATATGCGTATTTTGTATACCCAAACATCCCATACCATGCGCGTGCCTCCATTCCTAAAAAAATTTAAAGTATTTCAGATATGTGATAATTAGGCTTCAATGCAATTTTTAATTACCTGAAAATGCGGGGTGTAGAAGTTTCGTACTGTATTTTGTTATTAATGTTATTGTACTGTATATAAATATAGGCGTACTATTATGTGTATCCGTACAGTAAACTATTCATTATAAAATGTGTAAAATAAGTATAGTACTGTATTGAATAAAAACGACAGTACAATACAGCAGAAATATCGTTACGAAAGCAATTTAAAAATTACCGCGAAGGAAGACCCTGTTATCGAGGATTCAAGTTTATTGCTTACTGGACTCACAATTTGTTAGGATTGTGCCCGGTAAATTATATAATTTTAATTAAATAATTTTATTACGTAGATAAATACAGTATCGATAGAACTATAAATTAATAAAAAAAAAGCTTCTCTTTAAAAGTGTAATTTATTTATACACGCCTTACATTTGAATCATTCGAATTTGCTATGTTAATTAAAAACAATAACATTATATTTAGTGATGTGCCATTTATATGATACCTAGCGTACAGTAACGTACAGCACGCACAGTACGTATAGTTGTATAGTGTGTATAACATACGTAATATACACAATACACGTGGCATTTATAAATAGGTTATGTGTAATATTTTGCAAGGAACAATTCTTGTTAGAGTGCGAAAGACAGTTTCATAGTTAAAATTTTGAGATAGGGATACTTTCATGATTTGTTCTAGAATATTCTAAAAAATGTTTTGTGGTACCGGCACATCTCTAATTATATCGATGTAACTATTCGCAAAGTGCATATTAATTAAAAGTTAAATTATATAAAAGTTTTTAAAGTTTCTCACAACATACTTATTTTTTGGGGGAATTTACACGGAAAGTGAAAATAATTACAAATACTGGCCAATAATTAAAAAAATATTACATATAAGGACCCGATTGAAAGAATGTGATCACGGAAATACTGCGCCACAAAGTACTATTCACAGGATTATCGATTGTTTTATTATAAGTATTTAGAACTATCTATATACCGATTATTAGATAAAGGATAAATGAAGCGCTGGGTATAATCATTTTCGCTTAAAATGTTAAAACTAGCACAATTATTTATAAGGCAAAGAAGTTTCGACAGAGTAGATCTTTAGAACTGGACGAACATCTTTCATATTGTATCATGCCAATTCGTGGTGCTTTAATTGACATCATAGTGATTTGTTATAATAAACAATTTTATACAAAGAAAATGAAATTTATTAAATTTAAAAAAAAAATTCTTTTCTCATTTATAATTACTAATTTACGATCTACAGTTTTTATGCACTCATGTAATATAAAAATAAAAAATTAGACCCTCATATGTAATTATTTTTAATTTGGGCCTGTATTTGTAATTATTTTCACTTTTCGGGCCCTTATTTGTAAATTCCCCTATTTTTTTTCAACTCATTATTTTATCTATTTAACTCACAAGCTTTTCATACTCAATCCTTAAAAGCCTTCAATATTAATGAATTCACTTGCAATTAGAGTTTAATAATGGAGATTTAATTAGAATGTTTGCTTTTTGATTCTAAATTTATTTATTAGTATATACTATAGTATACTGTATATTCATTTATAAAAAAATAATATGCTATATAATTTACCAGTTTTTTTAACAGACTCAGTAGTTTGTTATAAAAGTGATTAATTTCAGTAAGTTTCTATTATATTTATTTGTTTTTTTAATTTGTGTAATAATAAAATAAAGTCAAATAACATGTTCTATTTCAAATATTTCTTTAATATAATAAATTATAAAATTTGAATTATATTGTACAAATAATAATCATTGCTTGGCCCATATTTTAAATTTAGCTAA